AACAGCCTTCCCACACACTGCTGTGAGGATCAGAGCAGGTCATTCATTTGATCTGTGTAGTTTTGCTACCAGGGCCATCAAAAGGCATCACAACCTGTCTGAAGGTAAAGTTCAAAGACAGCTGTGGGCTGGTGTCAGTGTCAGCTCCTTGATACTGGCCAAAGTCCCTGTGAAGCTGAAAGAGAGGCAGCAAGACATTGCTGTACCTTCAGGAACTGAGCAGTGAGCCAGAGAGAGAGTGAGAGACACAGAGACAGAGAGGGTCTCAGGAGCTTGCTGGCCAGGCAGTCTAGGAAAGTCAGTGAGGTTCAGTGAGACACCCTGTCTCAGAATATAAGGTGGAGAGCATTGGTCAGACACCAATGTCCGACCCCGGCTTCTGCACAAACATGCATGCACACACACACCTGAGCATGCGTATGCACACACACATACATGCAATCAAACATTAGTCAAAGGCTTCCATGAACAGTGTGGAGCCACTAAAACCCAACAGAAAGCACAAAGACTAGCCTTATCTCCATACACCTGGGCCACCCATGCCACCCACCATGTTTCTTTTTTAGAAACAAGGCAGCCAAGATGGAACCCAGGCAGCGGCTTCCTCGCCAAATCTTCTCCTATGCAAATTAAACATAACCCCAGCCAGGATCTGCCTGCAGCCTGCAGAACTTCCCGGTTGCTGGCCGTTGGCTGTGGCCGGGCCTTCTGGTCTTTGTCACCTACAGATGCTGGGCCTGTGGGTTTCCCCTCTCTGTTCTCATTTCCTCCCAGCTGCCATGGGCACTGCTCAGGTTGTGTGTCCACACAGTGGCCGCACCTGTCAGTTACCTGTTGCTAGAGGAGGGGCTTGGCTGCCAGTCGATTAGTCATTTATAGGACAGTTTTCATAGGGAGCCTCCAGGAAGTATGATCCTGGCAGAAATGACTTGTCCAAAAATGAGACTCTGCCTCCACTTCCTCCTTGTATCGTTCTCTGCTGTTTTTATTGTGAGACAGTCAACTCAGCAAAATGCGGAACTAGATGAGTACAGCTTAGTGGACAGACGCCAAGCAAACGCCGCCCAAGTCAAGAAGTAATATAGTACGATCCAAGTTTCAGAAGCCTCTTCCTCAGACCCCTCAATCTATCTTCCAAGCAGGGTGAGTCCCTACACTTGTGTTCACGGCATCTGTACATGGTTATTTCTTTGTTCAGTTTTACTGCCAAAGTGTATATCTCTACACATAATGTTTTGCTTTTGCCCATGTTGGGACCTTGTACAGAGTATGTTTACTCTGTGTGTGGTGTGTGCATGTATACAGTTCGTGCATACATATGTGTGGATTTCTGTGTCCAGTAGCCAGAGGCCAATGTTGGGGGTCTTCCTTCGTCACTCTCCACCTTGTTTTGTGAGGCAGGGCCTCTCGCTGAGCCTGGGGCTTACCAAGTTGGAGAGACTGGATGGCCACGAGCTCCAGGGATCCTCCTGTCTCCACCTCCCCTTCTCCAGCATTACAAGTACTCACCACCACACCAGAGGTTTTAAGTGGATCCTGGAGAGCCATACTCAGGTCTTAATGCTTGTGTGGCAAGCGCTTATCAATGGAGCCATCTTCTTGGCCTCAGTATACTTCCTGTTTGTGAAAAGTATCCGTACTTTTTGTAGTTGCCATGTATTCATTTTGTTTTAGTTCATCTTACTGTATTAATGGACTTATTGTGGGATTTAATAACCTACTCTGTGACCTGCGCACACGCAGTTTCCGACAAGCACGGATAAAGCCCCCAGCCCTCTCAGCTCACCTTCTCAGGTGCTCTTTGTTTTGTTTCAGTTTGGGTTTTTTTGTAAAGCAAAGCATCCTTTTATTATTATTATTTCTTTTCCTATACCCTTTTCAACCCACTATCTGGCTCCCTATCACGGAAGGGTCCTATACATTTCAATAGGCAAACAGAGGTTTTAGGAAGCATAATTGATCTATTAGAATTTTTTGTTTTCTTCAGTACATTGGAAAATGACAGAAAGACAGGAGGGAAAATGGCACTTCGATGGGACTATAATCACCTTCCTTAGGGTGATAGTATGTTTCATGACTTTTCCTCCAAACAGGTGCAAAGGAAGTTCAAGTACACTGTGTGGATACTTTCTTGTACCTTAAAATATTTCTCTTGGGGCTGGAGAAATGGCTCAGCAATTAAGGCCACTGACTGCTCTTGCAGAGGACCCAGGTTTGATTCCCAGCACCCACATGGTGACTACGAACCATCCTTAACTCCAGTTTCAGGAGAATCTGAAGCCCTCTTCTGACCTCTGTGGCATTGCATGACACGGGTGCACTCACATTCATGCAGGCAATACACTCATACACAAAAAATAATAAAACATTTTTTAAAAAAATAAAATGAAATGAAAAACTTGGCCTGATGATGTGACAGCAGGAACCCCTCACAGGTGGTTTTGCAAAGTGGTTGACCTGTTGTGAGCTCACAGAAGCTTCACAGGCCAGCTCATGTAACTCCTATCCCAGCAACAGTAGAGATTACTGATCCTTTAGATTTCTGCCAGGGTTAACCATGCCATTGCCTTTCCAATGTGATCTGAATCTGCATTCACCAGATTCCTCAGGGCGTCAGTTGCGCCATCTCCCTGAACATCTGCTCTACTGGCACCTGTGACCTGTTGTATTGGGTTTGTTTGTTTAACAGGAAGATACTGCTATGTTTCCCAGGCTGGCCCTGCACTCCTGGCCCTTGTCAATCTTCCTGCTGCCACATGATGAGAGGTGAGCACACAGAGCATGACTTCCTGGTCAGGGTTAACAAGAGAAAGCCAATCGAGGTCCACAGCAAGATGGCTTTACAGCTTGGACATGGATTTAGAAATCTGGGTTACGCTCATCATTTATTTCCATGACTTTAGGACCTCAGGCAGGAAAGACTCTCAATCAAGAATGACATTTAAGTGCGACTTCTGGTCAACTCTCTCCCTAAACCAACTTTTATAGATATATGCTTAAATTTGTCATGTGTTGACATTTGTATGCTTCTTCTTTTGTTCTGTTTTGTTTTAGAGACAGGGTCTCATGTGGCCCAGTCTAGCCTCCAATTCATTGTGTAGTTCAGGATGACCTTGAACTCCTGATCCTCCAGCCTTCGCTTCCTGAGTGCTGGAATTACAGTTGTGTCCCACTATGCCTGGCTATATACATCCCCCACTCCTCCTTCTCTTCCCTCTGTGTGTTGCCTGTGTGTGTGTAAGCACTCATGTCCATGCACATACATGCAGAAGCCAGAGGAAGATAGAAGACAATTTCACTCTATCACTGTCCACCTTGTTCCTTTGAGACAAGGCCTCCCACAGAACCTGAAGCTCACTGCTTCAGCTGGGCTGGCTGGTCAGTAAACTCCAGGGATCTTCCTGTCTCTGACCCGGAATGCTGGAGTTACAGTCACATGAGCAAGCCCAGCTTGCTTTCACAGCAAGTGCTCTTACTCACTGAGACATCTCTCCAGCTCCAGTATATTATCCATGCAAACCATCCTTTCCATGAGCCACAAAGCAGGCACACATTTCCTATGACTTCCCTAGAAAACAGGTTTGGCTCCCTTGTCCATATCCAGTATGTTTTATAGTGCAGTTTGTGCAAGGGAGGGTTACCCAGTAACCAACAAAACTTTAATCAGCCACATGACCATGAAAAAGGACTTGACACTTCAGGGTGCTGGTGACTCACTGTGTTCACACTGGGAAAGTTTCAGAATAGACATATGCCAGGGCTGAGGAGGGTCTGGGTGTGTATCTTCTACCCCCACCAGATGCCCTGAACGGCAAGTGGGGCTTGGAAGGAGCCCTGGCCACTGGGCCAGCCAGCCAAGCACCACTTGAAAAGGATTGCATTTTTAATGTTGAAACCTTGCCCCAGCACCATCCAGCTTTCAAGAGATGAGCTGCCTGATAGGAGAAAGGGAAGTGTGGTCACATCCGGTTCCAAAGCCCATCTCAGTTCTCACTTCTTCAGACTCTGGTCTTGACCCACCCAGAGGAGGAAGTAAAAATTCCCTCAGTTTGTAGACATCCTTCTCCTGGCAGGGGCTCGGCTGAGCTCTTCCCAAGTTTGGTGCATTTCAGCATTGCTTAATGCTCAGGACCTCAGCTTCCGCATTTCATCAATGCAGAGACCACAAAGCCTTCCCAGGACCTCCATGACTCACTCTTCCCCCTTCCCTGGAACTCATGACCTGAAGGCATGAGCTGCTGAAAGGGAGAAGAGGGCAGGGCACATCCACAGGGTGCCACTTCTGCCTGCGCCACACCCTCCCTGGGGTTCCTGTGCTCAAAATAGCCCTGTTGCCTCCCATAAAGTCAGGCCTGCCCTGCCCGTGCATCTTGGTTCCAGGGTATCCCTGTGTGTCGTCACCAGGGCAAGGCGGGCAGGTGCGCTACACACAGCCCATGGTACCAGTGAAAACAGAGCCCTCAGTTCACAAGCAGAGGCCTACTGGCCCTCTGTTAACGCACCCCATGTGGCTATCTTTCCCTTCTTGGAAAAGGAGGGACACCATCTGACTGCATCACTATTGAATAGTGTTTTAAACCTGGCCCCACACTGGGGAGAGAGTAAAAAGACAAAGAAGACCTTGGGAATGGAGGCCCTCATATCCTTCCATGTGTGCTCCAGAAAGTTCTGTTCGAATGCTCACTGAACTTCCTATTTGTACCTCACCTGTACCTGTAGTCAAGAATGGAGGTCAGTCCAGGGGCTTCATAGGTTCCCAGGGCCTGTGCTTGTTGCCCTGAGCCATGTGGCTGTCCACAGACCCTGAGGCTCTTCAATTTCCTTATTGCTGACTCACTGGCTTTGGTACCGAAACAGAGCTGTCCTGTTCTCTAAGGTCTGGGTGACGCCACCGGTCACCTGCACAGTTGTTAGTTCTAGAGAGTACCTGTGCCAACTGTGGCCAGGGTGACACTCCACAGGTAGGAGTGGTGGGTGATGTGGCCTGTTCTGTCTTCCAGAATCAGGGCCAGAGACAACAGTGGCTCCTACGCACTGTGCGTACTACATGAAGGGAAGGTGTTGCACTATCGCATCGACAAGGATAAGACAGGGAAGCTCTCCATCCCTGAAGGGAAGAAGTTTGACACTCTCTGGCAGGTATGTGCTATGTGCTACCGCCTCCCTCCTGGTGAGTACAGTGCAGGGCCATGGGGCTCCTTGTCCCATCAACTCTTGGAAACAAAAGGGACCAGGCTACCTGCTTTCTACCTTGTGTCTGAGGCAGCAGCTCCTGAATCTTATTAGAGATGCTAACAGCGCAGGGAGGTTCCTTTATCTCATGCTCCATTAAGTGCTTTCTGACTTCCAGACCACTGGCTTGTTTGAGACATGCCTGCACAGAGCCTATCACATCAGGTGAGTAAGACCCCAGAAGGTTCCAGCACCTGCCTGGGGTCATTAAGTTCTTGGTGCCTCAGGCTCCTGTCTTTCAGGATTGTGGTCAGAATTTTATAGAAGGCCCAGCTTGTAGGAACTAGAAAATATTTTTTCTAGGATAGTATAACTAGAACCCAAAACAGCATTGTTTGCCAAAAGCAAACAAAGGCATGAAGGTTGGGAGATGACTCAGTCAGTCAGTGCTTTACCTTGTAAGCACAAGGACCTGAGTTTGAGCCCCAGAACCTACAGTAAACACACACACACACACATACACCATGTACACCTCTGCGTGAACCCAACACTCACACACATGCAAGCACACACACCATGTACACCTGCATACGCATGCATGCACACACATGCACAAATGTGCACACATGAGCACATATGCACACTTACTATGTACACCCTGCATATACATACACACATGAATCGTGTATACCCTTACACACATGCATGCACATGCATGTGCACACACGCACACACACACCATGTACATCTGTACATACATGCACACATGCATATGCACACATGCACATATATGTACATGCACCATACACACTTGCACATGCACACACATAGTCACACACATGCACACACACACACACACACATATGCATACATAAAGGCATAGATGGCTGGGGAAAGAACCTGAGGACTGTGACTCAAATGTTCCTGGGGCTGTGATTCTGAGATGCCGGGGTGAACACCCGACCTTAAGTGTCTGCAGAGAGGATAGCCCATGTCAGGTGCGCCCTCACTGTAGGAGAATCCTCCCAGAAAGTGAAGGCAGCTTAGCAGTATGCCTGCTCTTCCCAGGCTCCAGGCAGCTGCCTGTCCAGGAACACTTCAGGCCTGGTCTATAAAGGGTTCATTCTCAACACAGCCATCAGGAAACCCAGAGACAGCTCAGACATTCAGGAGTGCCCTAATATGCATCCTGATTCTTATCAATTCATACTGACCACACGTGGCTTTCTTAATTTGACCTCACAGCTACATTAGCTGGCTGGGAAGGAAATCCTAATTATGATACAATTTTCACCACTTTAGCAGAGTGTCTCCAAACTGTGGTGGGTCTCCAAACGGGGAGACAGCCACCTGTTTCAGTTACCTCAGAGGGTTACTGCCACCTTGAACTTGTGTGGATTGGATTCAGGAATGGATTCAACAGTCACCCCAGGCCCAGCTGGGCACAACACATGTGGTCAGCATTGAGGAAGGGACATGTCTCAAAAACTAAGTCCTGGGGTCCTGATTTCCTTCCAAGTACTTGAAATAACTTCCCCTAGTGTGATGTCATCCCTAAAGATATAATTGGGGGGAAAAGAGCTGAGGATGTGGCTCAAATGGTAGAGTGCTTGCCTAGCAAGCAATATATTCTGGATTTGATCCCTGGTACCTCATAAACCAGGCATGATGATGCATGCCTATAATCCCAACATTCCTGAAGGTGGACGCAGGAGAATCAAAATTTCAAAGTCATCCTCAGCAACATAATAAGTTTCAAGGTCAGCCTAGGCTACATAGCAAAACCCATCACAACAAATAGATAAATCAATTTCAAAAGGATTAAGTCACACAGATGTTGTGTGGCCCCTATAGTATCATCATCTGGCTATGTAATTGTCAACTTGACACAATCTAATCACTAGGGAAGAGATTGTCTAGATCAGGTTAGTCTATGGGCATGTGTCTTGATTACGTTAAATGATGTGGGAAGACCCAGCCCACAGTGGGCAGCACCATTCCCTGGCCTTGAGTCTTAAGTGTGTGTAAGGATGGAGAACAGGAGCTGAGCAGTGGGCGTGCATGAATTCCTTTTCTCTCTGCTCTTCACTATGGATGTGACTAGCTGCTTCAAGTTCCTGACTTGATTTCCCTGAAATGATGGATTGTAACCTGGAATTGTAAACTGAATAAACCCTTTCTCCCTTAAAATTGTTTTTGTTGGGGTATTTTATCAGAGAGAGAGAGAGAGAGAGAGAGAGAGAGAGAGAGACAGAGAGAAAATGTCGGGCTGTTTATAGCAAAAGAGTGCTTGGTGTGTCCCTATGAGAGAGAGAGAGAGAGAGAGAGAGAGAGAGAGAGAGAGAGAAACAGAGAAACTATGGCAGGCTGTTTAGACCAAAAGTTTGCTGGCTTTGCCCATGGATATCCCCAACCCATGCCCCAGGCCCTCTGTGGAAGGGACTGTTTAGAAACAGATCTAAGTGGCTTCAGATGGCTTTAAAGCCCAGGAAGGCAGTGTCTCTCCACCACTATCTCTATTTCTTGCCCACTATTAACCACTCTTTCTCCCTGGCTTCCCTTGCAGCTGGTGGAGCATTACTCTTATAAGCCAGATGGGCTGTTAAGAGTCCTCACAGTGCCATGCCAAAAGATTGGTGCACAGACGGGTGAGTAACCATGACAGCCAGCAGCAGAGGGTCACATTTGGGGACTATTGGATTGGTCATAGCCAACCTGGTGTCACACTTGTTTGTTCGAGACTCAGGTGGGAGGAAGCCTTGATTTTACCATGGTACTTAACATGTCAGATCACTCCAATTCTAGCATTTGATAGTTATAAGACAGCTAGTCACCATTACTTTTAAAGAAGACTAATGGATTTTAACTGTACATGTGAAAAAGGTAGTAAAAGAAACAAAAGATATTGATGGAGAAAGCTTGTGGTCTCCCCAGCATGTTCCAGTCACACTGACCCAGCTGATAAGTAGGTAGTTTACACTAACAGTAATTGTCCAATTCTTTGTAACCAGAAAACATTGCTCTTGCAGGTAACTCACAGAATTCAAGTGCCCACCCTGTGGTAAGTATTATTAGAGGCGTCTCCACTGAGGAAGTGGTTGTGTCTGAGTACACAAGAAGCAGGTTTTAGTTAGCACAGGTAACTGCCATTGTTTGATTGTACGTCCAAGCACGGCCCGGAAAGCTAAGAATTCTAGTGAGTATCAGGAGACACCAACCTCTTATCACTGCTCAGGGAGGCAAGGCACATCTTCTTAGATTCTTGGTTATCTGATTTTCTTGTCATTCTCTAAAAGTATACACAATGAGGAGGAAACCCAAGGTTAGATCAGAAAGGCCTCCAGTCAGATGGAGGAAAGGGAACAGATTGTTCAAGTTTAGCCTTGAGATGAACACATGTCCACAGGGTGGCCTACATACATATCAATATAACATGGTGGGTAGATAGGTATTTTCATGAGGTTGACTGTCCAGTTCCTCTGACCAAATCAACTTATATAGTGTAACCATGCACTTGACCTAGATGAATTGGTTTGGCTAATGTTTGGGAGGGATGCTTAGTGACAGCTTAGGAGATGCCCCAGAGAAAGATAGAAGCCAGAGTCCATGTCCCTACTTCACAGTAGATAAGAATTACCCCCAGACATTGCTGGGTAGGCTTGTCCCAGACATCACCACACCCCTGAAGAGAGAACCTTGCCTCCCTTCTCTGTTCAGGATGGAGAGCTGGTATTTAGATTGATAGCTGGTCCTTTCATCCTTTGAGAACTTCAGTGTGGACATCCCATGCCCTTTAGCACCATCAGGGAATAAGTCCACACTGTTATCTGGCTAACTCCTGAAAACCAAAATCCACCAAAGCCAAATGTTCTGTCTCCAATATGGACCACTCAGTAGCTAACACTGTTGATTCCAGGTTTAGTACTTTGTTACCAAATTGAGGGACCTTGAATTGGCTAAAACGACAGTAAATTTGGGGATCCTCTGATACACAGTGCCCTATGGAATCCTCACTTTATTTGACCCTCATGCCTCTCATGGACCTGGTGTTTAACATACTATGCTGCTTGAGACAGGTCTGCTGTCCCTCTCAACACATGTCCAACCTATGGTCCACAGGCTGCATGTGTCCCAGAAGTTCTAGCTGACATCAGCTCCCAATGTCAAAAGGTTGGACACTCTCACATGGAAGAGTGTTCAGGGTTCTACTCTTAACACCAAGCCCTGCACTGAGTCCTCTATCAAGCCATGGCTTCAGGAAGTTAGCTTTTGGAATAACCCTTTGTTGAGCGATAAAATGTGGACAGAAAAAAAAAATGCAGGTGTCCAGTGTGTACAACTCAGTGACTTTCCACATGCACTGTGGAACCAGGACCACCTGAGAGACGACACCACTGAGCAGCCAGTGACCAGGGAGTCTTCAGTGTAACTGTCGAGCTTGAAGACACTATGAGTAACATGGCTACGTCATGTGTCAGCTTTAGTTTTGTAGTCTTCAGTGAGCGCTACAAAAAAATACTTAGAAAACATGTAGCTGTCCAAATGGTAGACACGTCTAAAAGCATCTCAAATTGCACATAAGAAATCTCCCTGAGACAAGTGAGAGGGTGGTGTGCAATTGCAGAAGCAGGGTCAGTAACGTGTCTTGATAAAGAATATCCTGATGATCTGTATTTATTTCCTGAAACTAAAAGTTCTATTCCTCTCTGCCGTTGTGGTTTCTAGACTTGGTCAGCGGGTGGAATAATCTCAAGAATCAAATCCTACACCTTCCCAAAGCCCGGCCACAGAAAGGTGCTAAAGTGTCCCTTGCTTGCTGCCCCTGACCAAGCGGCAGGATGGACCTGCGTGCAGCCCGTGCTCACTGTCCCCTCCGTGCCTTCTACATGCCCAGCTTCATGTGTCCCTGCTGAACCTCGCAACCCCTGCATGGTGCATTCTGTGCTTTTCGTGTGGATCCTCTGCCACTGCTGCACAGCCTGTCCATGTTGCATTGCTCTCTATCAACATATAACTTTAGTAATTTGGTATACATGACCAATGACAGCAGTGTCTCACATCAAACAGCCAGCTCACCTTAGATTTTCCAAAATCACATGTTGCAGCATTAGGGTTTCTTCTATGTGAAATTCATCACAATGGAAGGAACTGAGGTTTCCTGAGGTGCACGGACCTCTGAGGAGACATCCAGGGTCAAAGGTACCTCATTACTCCTGGAGTCCAATACAGAATTAGAACTTGTTCTTCTAACTCTGATAGGGAAAGATGGAATTTGAGGGCTAGAAAAAAAAATTTCCTTGTTGAGGTAGTAATGTTGGCATCAGATTGATTTCTATACTTGACTGTACGACTGCATTTTTAGGAACAATAAATATATCTTGAGGTGAGATGGTTAAGTAGGCAAAGGTGCTTATCACCAAGGCTGACCACCTCAGTCTGATCCTTGGAATCCACAAAGTGGAAGGGGAGAGCCAACTCCTGTGAGTCCCTGATTTTCGCATGTGCATAGTGGTGCAGGCACCCACAATAAATAAGTCAATAAATGTAAACAATTTTTATTAAAAAGCAATTGGGGGGTTGGAGATCAAACTCAGGGTCTCATGGTAGGCAAGTGCTCTACTACTGAGCTACATCCCAGTCCTTGGTTTGTTGTGAGATTGCCTCCCATGCTCAAGTTCTAGACTTTCAAGAGATGTCACCATGTCCTTGTAATGACTTAGTTATAGTGAATTACACATATACACACAAGCAAGTGTGTATATGTGTACTATATATTATATATACAATAAATTTATATACTATATATACTATACATACTATATATTGTGCGCATATGTGTATATATATATAATATGCATGGCTTGCTTTTTTCCTGTCTACTTTTAACATCTTTGGGTAAATTTGATTATGTTATTAGTAATTGTTTCCATTTTAAACTAATGTTTCCTGAACGTGTGGGCATTTGATTAAACATAAGCTCATGAAATTGAATATCTAAAATATTTACCAGAAATAACAAAAACAAAGGGTATAGACACCCTGAAACTTTACTCAATAATAACCTTCCAAGTTGACCGTCACACATATGGGTCTCGATCTTGTTGAGAGGAACACAGAGAAGAGAGTTTAACATGATGGTTGAGGAGAAAGAAGGCCATGTTGTGCCCGGCACAGGATGGATAAGTTGATCATGGCTAATGCCTGAGAACACTGCCCTCTGATTTTATCAGATCCACGGACTTGCAAGTCTGTGGGGCAGTGTTTGTTTACCAAGCCTCACAGAACACAATGGGACACTAAGCATGCCCTGTGTCATCCTCCCCCAACCTAACTCTTTACATGCTTTCCACCCCACTGTGCCTGTCAATCCATTTACCCTGGCCCTAGGCCTGTTGCTAACCCACGGCCCTCAGTTTTGCAGAGTTCCAGAAAGCAGCATTTTCACCATAAACAGTAATTCTAACAGCTCACATTTATTTTTTAATATTTTATTTATTCTTTTATGTGTATGTACATATTGCCTGCATGTAGATAGGTGTACCCGTGTTGTCCTTGGAGGTCAGAAGATAGCATCACATCCCCAAGAACTAGAGTTACAGATGATTGTTAATCACCATGTGGTGCTGGGACTTGAACCCAGATCCTCTGCAAGAGCAGCCAGTGCTCTTAACCACTGAGTCATCTCTCCAGCCCCAGCATCTCACATCTATCTCTTTGGTTCCACCAGAGAAGTATGAGCCAGAGGAGATATATGTGCACAAGCACACACAAAACGCACATATGACACATGCATACACATATTCATATGTATACATAGCTATATGTATATCTCTATATACAAATATATGTATACATATTTGTATATAATTACATGCATCACATGTGTATCTCTGTACATGTGTATGACATGTATATGCATACATATGTACATATCAATGCACACATAACTACATGCTTACATATGAGACATTACTTGCACACATCCACACAGGTTTATTACAAAGACTTACCTTGTATAGTTTGGGGACTGCTAAGTAAGTCCAATGTCCATGGGGAATATTGTTAGGAAGGAAGGTCCAGAGCTGGATGGAACCACGGCAGGGGTCAGTCAACTTCCATTTATCCCCTTTTCTTCAGAAAGTCTAAACTCACTTCTAAGGGCCCTCAACTGATTGAGTCAAGTCCCCATAGGATAATCGTCTGAATATACATCAGCTGTTTGGGGATTGTAATCACAGCCGCAGGATCCCATCTCAGCAGCAGTTATTGCCTCATTGTGAGATTTCTGCTTGAGTCAGTGACCGTCACTCAGGCGAGCCAGCGGGAGTATCAAAAAGCCAACATTGGAACTGGGGAGATGGCTCCATATGTAAAGTTCTTGCACTCAAACATGGTGGTCTCCTTCCTCACTGGCCTGCAGTCCTTCTGGTGAAGACTGGGAACCACATCTGGCTGATTGCAGCCACTGTCCTGGCGCCCACTGGCTTTTGGTCCCTGCAGTTGTGAGGAGTGTTGTCACCTACATTACCACTCTTGCCTAATTTGAAAATAGTTTCAGGAAGTCAAAAGTGAAAGTCAAGGTCTAGAAATAAATGGCAAAAACTCTGGAAGCAGGGCACTGTGGCTCGGACTATCAGTTCCACAAAGCAGTGTGGTAGTCTCTCTGGTTCATTTCAAACTCCCAAGTTGTTAAAACATGAGATAGCTCAGTCAGCAAAGTGCTCGCCATGCAGCCATTAGGACCTAAGTTTGATCCTCTGCCGCACTCACATATACCAATGTGGTGGCATGCACTGGTAATCTTAGTGCTGGAGAGAGGCAGAGACAGACAGGACACTGGGGCTTTCTGGCCAGCTATCCTAGCCAGAACAGTGAGACCCAGGTCAGTGAGAGACCCTGTCTCAAAAACACCTCTAATCCCAGCATTTGGGAGGCGGAGACAGGTGGATCTCTGTGAGATCCAGGCCATCCTGGTCTACATAGAGAGTTCCAGGTCAGCTGGACCTACAAGGGGACCCAGTTTCAAAAAAAATTTTTTTTAATTAAAAAAAGGTGAATGGTTCTTGAGGATCTCTGGCCTCCACATGCACATGGCACACACATAAACGTTCAGCCACAACACACAACTGTCACATGCATCATCTATTTGCAGGTAAGTCCAACCAGATAACAGATTAGGAATCATAATGTATAATCAAACATGACTTTCAAAGCACTGTTATGGAGTGGTTAGACCTTGAAAGTCATCCATTATTGTTTGGAAAATAGAAAGCTTGGGTAGCTGACGCCACCTAGAGGCACTTAGCAGTTGTGATCCCTACTGTCAACATTCCTTCACATCTCTTGTGCTGAAAAGATAAGGCTATGTCTGGGGCAGGATTCATTATCGAGTGCAAAACAGGGAATGACACTGTGTGATCAACTAGTGATCAACACATCTCTCATCGCTATTCATATTCCATAGATTTTAACACTGATCAGCACTTCATAATTTATCATTGTACCTTTGTGTTCATTCTGTACAAAGATTCCAACTTCTTTTCAATTGAATATTTGCAACCAGAGCTTTTAGCTTTTACAGTGATCCTAGAAATGGCCTGTTCATCAACTACTATGGAAAAGTTAGGATTTGGGCCTTGTGTCTTTATCTGCATCAAGTAACCACTGTTCTTTTGACTAGGCCAGTGAGAAGCCACTCATTCCTCTACAGAGCACTCTCTAAGTGAGGTGCCATTTTTGTTCTAATCCCATTAGGCTACGCATGTGCATGGGGGTGGCTTATGAAGGGTCGTAGGGTTTCTCAGTGTCTAGGCCATGAAAGCTCACTTTGTGTTGAACAGCATGGAAAGAAAGTCCTGAGCCATGCCTACTTAACATACAAAGTCTGGGTTTCTAAAGGTGATCCTCAATCTTTGCCCTTGCCTGTCAGTCAAAATAGACACAGAGAGGCCATACCTGTCAATCTGGGTGTGAACAACTCCTTCCAGGAGCTTGGATGCTCAGGGACCATGGCCACAGATTCTCACTTGCTCTTGATACATTGGGATTCTTTTCAGTATTTTTCTAAGTCCCTCACCTCTGCTTTCAAACATTCCCAGGAGATTCCTGGTAGGTTTAATTGTAACAAGACTTTTGGAATCCTCTTGCTCTGAAGAACATTCTAGAGAGGCTGCAACCCCAGAATGAGGCCCCAAGTGGTGGAGGGCAGGAGCTCTTGTACCAAGAGGTAGGGTAACAGACCTTCTCCCCATCCTAGACATCCTTTAAGTCCATATTAGGTCAAATTTTATCTTCAAATGTCAGTCAGTTTAAAACTATTTCAGTATGAGTTTGTTTACAGAGGGAACTAAGCAGAAGGGAGGATGGAAAAATTACCTCAGTTTAAGCTGGGAGAGTTCTCCTGAGGCAGGGTGATGATAGTGTCAGTTATAAGAGCAATCCAAGCACACCCAACCCTTCTGAAATCATGTGTAAATTTTCAAGGGGGTTAATGGTTATAGGGGATTATCTGTGCCTAGTTCTCTAATGACTGCAATCTTCAGAGAAAAATCATTTCAAGTGCCATGAGTTTACGCTTCATATCTCTCACTTATAAGAATGACTATTCCATCCATCTATCCATTCTTCCACTCACCCATCTATTCATCCTTCTATATATCTGTCCATCCATTTACCTTCCCATAGAACCATGAATCCACCCACTCACCTATCCATTCATCCATCCACTCACCCACCCATCCAACCGTCTTCTATTCTTTCATGTTTATGTAGCATGTTTTTACTGAACATCCATCACTATCTTGGCACAGCTACCGAATCCTGATTTAAAACTTATATCTGCATAACTTGTGCTGTATTGTCATAGTTATTTCCTCTGCATGATTCAGTAAGAGTGCTGAGACAGGACCGTGAGAAAATGGATCCAGTGACATCCCAGATGTCCTTTGGCCTCATCAAAAAAGCCTTTTCTGTCATAAGCATTGCCAGTCTCTAACACATTAGAGATGGCATGACGTGAGGAAGTCAGGGCATCTTGAGACACATGACCCAAGCATGGTAGTAGCACATTGTGACTCTATTGTCAAACTTTGGTAACCGGACTTGTCATGTCAATAAGGCAGGTGAGACTATAGTGCATGCTGTAAGACAGTGACTGTGCTTTGTTGAGCCTAATGTCGCTCTTTCTTTAAATATCCCCCAAATCTGGTGTTATCTCATTTCTTCATGGCAATATTTGGGTGCTGATAAGGTAAATCGATACACAAACTAAGGCAAAAACAAGGCGGGTTAATTGAATTGTGGTTTGCCTGTGAACTATGTAGCAATTGCCGTGTTTTAATTTGTGGGTGAAGATGGGTCAGAAAAACTCAAGAGAAAGATTTTGGAAAGGAGGAATTCTAGCTGGTCGTGGTGACACACGCCTTTAGTCCTAGCACTTGGGAGGTAGAGGCAGGCAGATCTGTGTGAGTTCAAGGCCAGCCTGATTTCCATAGTGAATCTAAGCCAGCTGTGGCAACAGGGAGAGCCTGGGTAAATAGATAATAAATGAATGAATGAATGAATAAATAAATAAGTGATATCAACCAATCAATCAATCTTAGAAGGAAATTTAGAAAATTTAGAAAATTAAAAGTATACAAGATGAGAGAGAGAGAGAGAGAGAGAGAGAGAGAGAGAGAGAGAGAAGAGAATAAGGAGAGAATAAGGATTTTTTTTCCTCCCAATGACTTTATGAGGCAAATTGATGTTAATCAAATAAATAAGTGAGAGGCCCCTGTTTTGTTTGTGTCAGAGAAGCTCTCCTTCAGTTCTGAATGACCAATCATGATCAAAGACTTCCCTTCTTTCAGGAAAGTAAGGAGCACTCCCCTCTCAAAGGGCACATGCCTATTTTCATTATCATCATTATCAGTGGTGGCAGCAGTGGACTGTGGGCAGGGGGCATGTAGCCTTCATCTTTGGGACATGTAGCTCACTGGCCAGGACTACCATCTGATATCAATCCATTGTAGCTAAATCTGCATGGAAGGCAAACACAGGTGGAAACTCAGCTCTAGCGCATACCCGCACTGGAGTCAGGAAGTAGTTGAAAATAACTTGGCTTTGCTTTGAAAATAACTTCCACATGAAATCAGATCAGGGAGACGGAACTCAAGGTGGGAGTAAGCCCATGGGGAGGGAACATGACAAATGCTCTCATCTTTTGGAAGGTGGGAAACATGTATGAAGGGTGTATCACTGCAGAGGGAGTTCTACCTGGATGACAGAATGGATTCTCTCCTGCCCCCTTTGAGGCTCTGGCAGGATGCTGGAGCTGTTCAACACAAGCCTTGTTGAACCTTCTCAGGTCCCAACAATTGCCTGAAGAATGAGATAAACTTTCCTGTCTCTTCCTAATTCTTCCTTCTGTACCCCTGCACAAGTCGGTCTGTGATCATTTGAAAATCACTGCATCAGTGCAGAAAAATGACAAATTATCACTTGTGTGCTTCAGACTGCTCCAACTCCAGCCAGCCGTCCAGAGAGCACTGTGTCATTCAACCCCTACGAGCCATCAGGAGGGCCCTGGTCCCCAGACAGAGGTGAGAGATGCGCTTTTACTCATTGAACCTTCACAGAGCAGGGTGCGTGGCTACTTGTCAGTGTGCGGAGTCAGCTTACAAATGCCTGACACCATCCCAAATTTGGTCAGCAGTAATCAGCACTATTGTCCAGTCGTAAGCAGAAGACATCACATTTCCATAGACGGGTGGGTCATAAACAGATGCCATTACTGGGAGATCAGATTCCTAGAAAGCTGGGTGTAACCTCTGGGTAGTATTGGCAGAAGGTGCAGTTCATGGCATCTTCTGCTGTTGTTGACTGGGATGCCATAGGGGACACAGTTCAGGAAGACACAACAGTGATTTGTTCCCAGAAATGGGGTCCTTAGATGACTTCTTTGGGTTCATGGGTGTCTCTGAGCTATTTTTTATTGATGAACTTGGAGTTTGTTTATTGCTACAAATCATCCCCAAATGACAGCTTAAAGCAACAAGAGTCAGTTATCTCTCATTTAATATATATCTGGGGACTGGGGATTTGGCTTAGTTGATAGAGTGCTTGTCTAGCATGCAGTAGCCCTGGGTTTCATCCCCAGCACTTCAGAAGTCAGGCATCATGTGGAATATATAATCTTAGAACTCAGAAGGTGGATACAGAAAGATCAGAAGTTCAAGGTCATTGTTGATGACTTTGTGAGTTCATTGCTAGCCTGAGATATGTGAGACTCTTTCAGGAGTGAAGGAAGGAAGGGAGAAATGGAGAGAAAAAGCTGGGAGGAAGGAAGGATGGAATGGTTTAGTCCTATAGGCCAGGCATTTGGCAAGGCCCACCTGGGTAGTCACAGCCCATGGTCAGTTGTCACATTACAGCTGGAAAGAGCAGGGGCACTGCCAAGACAGTCACTTTCTATCTCCACTTAGTCTGAGGGCCTCTGTGAGTTTGGTAGCCTTAGGACACTGGGACTCCATCTACAGCATCTCAAATATCAAGCAAATTGGCTTTTCATAACCTCACCTTGGAAAGCACGTGTGTCATGTCCCATGAACTCTGTTGGTTTGGTTATAAAAAGCCACCAGGCAGCATGGCATAGATGCCACCTCTCAGTAGGACAGTGAGGAAGAAGGTTCACACTTAGCTTGAAGCCCAATGGGAGGCTCAATCTGCTATCACCTCTGGTGTGGAAGAGCTGTCTTCATGTCTCTGCCCCTGCTGCAGTTCTTAACTGCACCCAACTACCCCATGTGACCAATGGGACAGAGGACAAGGTAACAAGAGGTAAAATCCTCACAGGAGTCTAACCCAGGGTTGTGTGTTGCCTGGCTGTCTCTCAGGCCTTCAGAGAGAAGCCCTACCCATGGACACAGAGGTGTACGAGAGCCCCTATGCTGATCCTGAGGAGATCCGGCCCAAGGAGGTCTACCTAGATCGAAGCCTGCTGACCCTGGAGGACAAAGAACTGGGCTCGGGTAACTTCGGGACTGTGAAAAAGGGCTACTACCAAATGAAAAAGTAAGCAGCACTTCCCAGTTACACCCCTGTCACCCTCGAGTGGGCATGCATGCCTGAAGCTGCTGAGAAAATGCCTGAAATGCTCATTTAATCCTAAGTGAAGTTTAACCTGCCATGGCTAGATACTCTTTTACTAGCTTTTTAATATTCATTCATTGATGATACAAATGTTTTTAAATTTATTTTAATATATTTGATTTATTTATGTTAAATATATTTAATTTGTTTTATGTGTGTGTGTGTTTGTGTGAGCACAAACATGTCACGCTACCCATGTAGAGGTCAGAGGACAACTTTACCTGCTAAGCCACCTCATCATCCTTCAATGCTAATACATTATAATCAAAGAATCCATTGTGTATGCTGACTGTGGATATAGTAATGGAATATTTTAAATTCAATATTTATTTAATTTAATTTTTATGTGTATGAGTATGGTACCTGCAAGTATGTAAGTGCACCGGGGTCATGCAATGCCTTCGAAGGCCAGAAGAGGCAGCCCGGGTCATGCAATGCCTTTGAAGGCCAGAAGAGGCAGCCCTGGAACTGGAGTCAGGGGTGGTTGTTAACCACCATGTGGGTGCTGGGAACCAAACCCAGGTCCTCTGCAAGATCAGCCAGTGCTCTGATCTACTGAGCCATCTCTCCAGCTCCACAATAAAATATTTTAGTTTTAGTATATGTGCATTATACAAAATAATTAAATAGAAATAAGTGTATCCATAAGAAATATGAATGACATATTGTACTATCCAAAGACTATTTCTTATAACTAACCTCAGTGTAAGCATTTGATGGATCTTTATGTGTATGTAAAACTCTCACTTCAGGCGTCTTAGTTTATCATATTTCAATCCTTGATTAATTAACATGATTGAATCTAGTCATAACTATGGATATACAATTCCAACCTCAGGATTTAGGGAATGGAGAAGCTATCCTCTACCTAGACCATTGTGGGGGAAAACAATGTCTTTACAACATCGAGTCTTCCAATCACACAGCCCAGATCTCCCTGGATTTGGGTTTTCCATCTCCCCAGTTTCCCTCAGCAGCTTGCTTAGTTTTCTGTATAGAGGTCTTGATCGGTTTTTCTTAGATCCATTCTTATGTGTTTAATGCTTTGATGCTAATATATGGCATCATTTAACTTTTTTCTTTCTTTTATTTAATATTTTTTATTTTTTTAGAAGAACCATATCATTATAGCTTTAATATGCTCAATAACAGTTTCCAGAGAAAAGATACAGCTACTTCAAAAGTGGCCATAAAATTTTTAGGTTCACTGTTGAATTAATACAGGTATACAATATTGAACTCAGTATGAGCCACATAAGACATAAAATTGAAGTTTTAACCTTTAAAAAAGATCTCTATTTCATTTCAAAATATACTGTTTCATATAGAA